ATGTGGTTCATCCCAGAAGAAAGCCATTATGTAGTCTGCACAGGGGATACAAAAATAATATTTTAGGACTGTTTTAAAAAATATTATTGGGACTATTTTTTATCCCTTTACCTGTAAAATATCAGATACTACATTTGTAGCTGTAGAGGGCTCAGAGGGCTCCATTTCTAGTTGTAAAAAACCTCTAAAAAGGGCCGGAAATAGCTTTCCCATGCTTTAAAATGTTGTTATTTCAGGACCTTTGAGGACTAGAAGTGGGTGTTAAGTCTCATTGGGAAGCTCTGCTTTCCAATGGTACAAAGCTACTGTTTCTAGCTCCTGCAATGATTCTTTAGTGTTGTGGCATTTTCATAGATAAAAATGGCCTATGTTTAAACTGTGCTAGGCTTCTACCACTTCACATGGAAAAAGTTGTGCAGTGGGCACATAGTATCGTGCTCCTTTGTCTTGTGCATCTTTACTGAATTTTTACTATGCAGCTAATGTGTGCATATGTGACCTTCTTTAACTACACTTCTTGAGCTTACCGAAAACAGACATGAAAAATGGGTATGTACAATATAAAAATCTATTTCTGCATTTTTTTTATGTCTGAATTAAATTCTTTCAAAATATGTTTCCTAGGGGGACAAGTTTTGTACATTGCTCTATTTCCTCTTATTTACATCACAAAAATCCGAAATACTAATATAATTCAAAAGTATACTTAAATCAACTACTACAATATAGGAGCAAGGAGAGTAAATGTATCATTTTTATGGCTGTCACAAAAATGTAGTGGCTCTCACAATACAGGGAGTAGTAAAAACTTTTAAAAACAAATTACATATTTGAAGCCCATAGTTCTCCCTGTCACCTCCTCACCTCGAACTGATTTTCAGTGGCACTCTCATTGCCCTGGTCCTGGCCACCGGTTCAGGGGGCTCTGCATATTAATTTAATTTTAAATGAAGCTTCTTAAACATTTTAAAAATCTTATTTACTTTGCATACAACAAGAGTTTAGTTTCATATTATAGACTTATAGAAAGAGACCTTCCAAAAACGTTAAAATGTATTACTGGCACGTGAAACCTTAAATTAGAGTGAATAAATGAAGACTTGGTGCGCCACTTCTGAAAGGTTGCTGACTCCTGTACTAGAGGAATTACTTAGTTTTTTATTAATAAATGGTCTCTCCTGAAATTTCATCCAACTTATACAACAATTGATCCTAACAATCAGTCTTTTCAACATAAAAAATAACATTTTATTATAATTAAACTTTTTTCTGAAATAAGGTTTATTTAAAAATTGGTTGTGCGTACTTTTTTTCTTTAAAATAGTTTTGATACTGTTTTTGAGGAGACAGAAAGTAGCATTATGGGATTCCAAGTGTGCATCAATGTGACTTCCAGAACACATTTTTTCATCTTGTAAGCAAATAGATGTTTTTTTCTAACTGTCTGCTCTACAAACTTTTATGAAAGTTATGTTCTTTCTGGTTTGTAGCTTTGGGGGATGAGGGGTTCACCTTATCTTCTTCCATGGGATATGTGAAAAACTGGAGGTATTGAATAGTGTTCAATATTTTGGATATATTTTCGATTTTTTCACTTATCTCAGCCTCTTTATTGGCTGGTTCTGTTGCTCTAATACAGTGCCTGATATCTGTGCATTTCTTCTGTGATATAACAGCAGAACATAGCTATTTAAGGGGAAATCAGTTAATTGCCAGATGCCTCTCTGCCCTTTACTATTTGAAACATTCAGGGCACAACTTTAATTATGACTTTTGGAAAACTTCGGCACATCATTTTTACATCTAACTTACTTTTCTGTTGTTTATTGATACATTTGTATGTAGCAGTATAAATTTTCATGGAGGTCAACTGTGGAAAAGAAAGAGAAAAGTGGATTTTGAGGAATATAGGAATTGCCATGCTGAACTACCAGTGGGCTGTCTAATCCCATATACTTTCTCTGACAGCGACCAGTACTACATTTCAATGGAAGATTATAGACAGCTCTCATTATGGACAATTCTACAATATTGTGTCCGTGGGGGAAGTTTTTTCCTAACCCCCAGATAGCTAGTGATTGGCTTATATCCTGAAGCTTGATTGTCCATTTACACATATTTAGCCTTTCTAATATAACTGGATGTTCTTATTCATAAAAATGTCTAATCCCTTGTTGAATCCCACTAAACTCTATGCATTGTGCTAAAAACCAGAGCATTCTTATTGTCTTTAAATGTGTTGCCCTTTAATTTTATTAGATGCCTCCTTCCCCTTTTTCTTGAGTTACAAGAGGGACTAAATAGGATTGTCTAGTTAACCTTCTCAGTAGCGTTCATTATTTTGTATACCTGTGTTATGACACTATAGACCAGCGGTTCCCAAACTTGAACCGCCGCTTGTGCAGGGAAAGCCCCTGGCGGGCCGGGCCAGTTTGTTTACCTGCCGTGTCCACAGGTTTGGTTGATCGCAGCTCCCAGTGGCTGCGGTTCGCTGCTCCAAGCCAATGCGAGCTGCTGGAAGCGGCGGCCAGTGCGTAAACAAACCGGCCCGGCCCACCAGGGGCTTTCCCTGCACAAGCGGCGGAACAAGTTTGGGAACCGCTGCTTTAGACAAATACCTTTTAAAACTCTCTTCTCTTTTGAAAATCCTTTCACATCATTAATTTTAATTGCCCTTCTTTCAACCCTTCTGTATCTCTTTTGACATGGAATGACCAGAACTGAACATGTTTTTTAAGGGAGAATATAACTTGGATTTATGTAATGCCATAAAAATATTTTCAAAATTAATCTCTATCCCTAACATGGTTTTTGTTGTTTTGTTTTACCATTACTGCATAATAGTTACTGGCTATCCCACTATTAATAATAATAAATTAATATTATATACTTAGCTAGTCCTTTTGTCCAGCACAGTAAAATCTCAATGTGTTAATTATTTATCTCCCATAAATTCCCCCCTGTAAAAGAAACATGATTAATGAGGTGGAGCATGGAAATTTTACTTACTTTGTGTGAAATAAACTTGGTAACCACACTTATTTTACACCTCTGCATTTTTCTTCTTGCTACAATATCTATTTTTAGTAGTGTTGGGAATATTTTCTTTTTTTTATTGACGAGTATGGTCACAATTAGCTGCTCGGTATTTACTCACTATCTGAGACTGAAGAATTCTTTTGCCTTTCCCTTATTTTTATTTTTAAACAAAATTAACTCACTTTTGGGGAAGAAGGGAGAAAATTCAATTCTCATCTACAAAGCAAAGATTTCTATTTAGATGCGTTGGTGGGCCCAACTGGTCAAGGTTACAATGGTCCTGTGTTAAATTTTTATTTAGTATCATCATCTAGGCATCGGAAGACCACATTGTGAAATCTGCAAGGCCTAGTGCAGTAGTGGCAAATAATGTGCAGTAGAACAAAGTAATAATTTGAACAATTATGATTTTTGTGCTAGTCTTTTTATTTGTTGGAGACTAAATAAAATGTACTTGTACAAATAAAACTAGCACATCTAATTTATCTGTAAAAGGTAGTGCAGGCATAGCACAGGGGCACAACTTCACAGGATGGTGGGGAAGGAGTGTATCCTTGGGTGACAGTATGCTCACTATGTACCCAAGGGATTCCACTGGGAAAACCCATCATAAATTAATAGTATCCTTGTACAATGCCGTAGCTGCTTTGGAGGGGAGGAGCTCCAATGGGGTGGCCAATGGCAGTTGAATTCCTGAATGAACATTCTTAGGAGGCAGAGAGGCTAGGGAAGATTACCACTATGGAGCTATGTCCCTGGACTGAATATTCCTGCGTCTTCATGGCTGGAACTCCCCCCCCCCACCCCCCCACTGAGCCTAACACGATGGGTAATATGTAGGCTACTCTATTTGCCTTGCTCTGCAAGGTTGTAACCTAGCCTAAAGCATCAAGTTGAAGTGAAGAAAGTAACTAATACCAAAGGGTAATATAAAGGAAATATAGTGGTGAAGACAACTTGCATTAATATTTAGTTTCACTGACTTGACTGGTGTATTCAGGCAACAAGATTAATTAAACATCAAAAAGATTTCTTCAGATCATTTTGATAAGAACATAAAAACAGCCATACTTGGTCAGACCAGAAGTCCATCTAGCCCAGTGTCCTGTCTTCCAACAGTGGCCAATACCAGGTGCTTCTGAGGGAATGAACAGAACAGGTAATCACGAAGTGATTCATCCCTTCTCGCCCATTCCCAGCTTCTGGCAAACAGAGGCTAGGGATATCATCCCTGCCCATCCTGGCTAATAGCCATTGATGGCCCTATCCTCCCTGAATTTATCTAGTTCTTTTTAGAACCCTGTTATAGTCTTGGTCTTCACAACATCCTCTGGGAAAGAGTTCCACAGGTTGGCTGTGTGCTGTGTGAAGAAATACTTCCTTTTGTTTGTTTTAACCCTGCTGCCTGTTCATTTCATTTGATGACCCCTAGTTCTTGTGTTATGAGGAGTAAATAACACTTCCTTATTTACTTTCTCCATACCAGTCATGATTTTATAGACCTCAATCATATCTCCCTTTAGTCATCTCTTTTCCAAGCTGAAAAGTCCCAGTGTTGTTAATCTCTCCTCATACAGAAGTCATTCCATACCCTAATAATTTTCGTTGCCCTTTTCTGAACCTTTTCTAAACCAGATACTGTAGATATTATTAGGGAGGATTTTTGCTTTAATCTAGGAAAAAAGAGCAATGTGTGTGGTTCACAAGAACTGCATTTGATTGAAAACAAAATGGTCTTTAGAAAAGTGAAGTGGCATAAGAAGTGCTTTGAAGCAAGAAAAATAGCGAGAACCCTGGTTTTTCTCCTGATATTTATTACTGATCCATTTCACTAAGCGTTGGAAAATACGAATCGTGGAATGAATTCTTTTGTGTAAACAATACAGTGTTTGTACTTCTGATTTAGATATTTTTAAACGACTTGTGTGTATTTCGTAAAATATGCTTTATTTTAAAATTAGGGCTTCCTGTTGCAGCTGTTCCAGGAGCGCTGAGTCCTTTGGCTATTCCGAATGCTGCTGCTGCAGCAGCTGCTGCTGCTGCTGGCCGAGTGGGTATGCCTGGAGTCTCAGCTGGTGGCAATACAGTCCTCCTGGTTAGCAATTTAAATGAAGAGGTCAGTGAAACCATTAACTCTTTTTTATTCCTTATTTTTTAATCACACTTCATTTGTGAATGTTTTCATTTTTTTGCACTTGCCTCTATTTTCACTCGCATACTTTAAGATCAAAGTATTTTTTCTTGTTTTTTGTATGTCTAAATTAATTTTGAAACTATAAACTTTATATTTTTTTCTATTATAGTTAAATATTTTTGTTTTCCTAGGTAGCTAACAACTTAAAATATCCTTTGATATTTGGCTACCTATTTTTCCTAAAAAAAATATGGTAAATACTGCATGTTTGATTTTCAATTTGTAATTTAAATATTTTCACAAAAACAACAAAATGTATTCTAACTTGTAGATTATATTTTATGTAAAGTAGAATTGTGTTTTTCTTTTCTAATTATTTGCTGCTTCATTTCATGCTTATGTGTCACTGCATTTTTAAAATCTTAATTTATGTGAACTGCTCTAACACGTTTTTCTTTGAAGGTTCTCCCAAAGATCTTGACGAGGCACTCTTCCAGTCTCTCTTAGTAATTTTTTCTTTGCAGTTATTATTCATTTGTCTTCAAAAACATTTTTCACCTTAATACTGTTACCTTTCTTGCTAACTCTAAAATCTAAGGGGTTTTATTTAGTTTTGCATTTTTACTGTCTTGTACAATTTTTTAATTGCTGTGAAAGCTGGTATGAAATGTGGGAAGTTTGATGTAGCAGTTTGTCTAGTTGGAATACTTGTTTCATTTTTAACTGGCCTCTGTTAATATGATTCATGAAGCTTATTTATCATTTGTTACTATTTTGTCATCCACAGTCTTGCATGTTAAAATGTTTGGATCAGAGTGCCATTTTGAAAGATTTTTGCCGGCATTTCATACCCAGCCATGCTTATGCACTTGAAGTTCAAAGTTTAAAATTTCTATTGCATGCTTTTTTTTTTTTTTCATGTTGAGATGAAATGCTGTAATTTATTCTTTGATATGGATGTACTTTACCCATATTTGTCTTGGGTGACAACATTTTACTCAGTTTTTTTCCTTGTACAGTACATAAACCAACCATTTTCTGACCAAATTCCTGCATTTCCTATGTACTGACCTATATTTTATTTTTTTTTGTTCCCCACTTCCTTTTTTTCTTCTGCATTGCTGTTTCCCTTCCCCATTTCATCCTTCTCCTTTTGTGTTCACCTTCCCTTTCCTTGTCTTTCCTCAAATTCCCATGCCCTCCCCCGTCTTATCCTTTATTTTCCTTATCCTTGTCTACGTTCCCTGTCTTCATTCCCTATGTTCATGCTTCTGTGCTTGAACAAAATGTGTTCCTCGGACCAACTTGCCCCAATTAACCGCCTTGAACCATGATCCATGACCACCTCACCATTCTGCGGGAACCACCCTTCGTTATGGATGATCTGTTCATCTCCGCTCTTCCTCGACTCTTCTCTCTTCTTGTCTTACGCTGCTTGCTCTTCTCTCCTTCTAAAGATGGTTACGCCCCAAAGTCTGTTTACCCTCTTCGGTATGTTATTGTTAGCACTATACTTTTATTATTGATTTAATTTTTGTTTCACCTTAATTCTTATTTTTAGCTAGCACTTTTGGCTTAAAGTTGAATAGTAAATCTTTTGCTATTTTTCTTTTGCTGTTTAAAAACTCTCCATAGACACAAGATTTTCTTTTAATGCATGCTAATATATTTTGCATGGTCTTTAATTTAATATCATTCACATAGCTTTTGAGGGTTTATCAAAAATTTATTCTTTTCAAAATTCACTATTCAAAATCTTGATCTTCTTTATTCATTTGTGTGAATGTTGAGATTGAGTGGGTGATCTTGTTGATGTCTGAATGTTTCATTGATATGTCAAAATGTGCTGTTTAGTTGGTTAGACTTAAAATTAATTATTCTTTTGGATTACCTCTCTGACTCTAAAAAAGGTGTTTATGGGGATGTGCAGCGTGTGAAGATTTTATACAATAAGAAAGACAGTGCTCTTATACAGATGGCAGATGGGAACCAGTCACAGCTGGGTAAGATTAGATTAATTTATGCCTCATTTAAATCTGTAAATTTAAGTATTTGAAATAATATTGTGGAAATTCAAATGAACATGTTCATATATGTCAGTCTACTCTTATTCTAGTTTTTCTCAGATCCCAGACTATCCATGAGACATGAAAACTTATTACATCAAGTCGTTCTGTATTCCAAAAATCGTATGTGTATGTGCTGCTTTATGTGAACAGAACAATAGTGTTGTTGGAGGAGAAAGAGGTGTTAATTTATTTTCTGAACTAAACATTAACTTCAAATTCTAATCTAACCCTATGGACATCAGTCTGCTACTTCACTGGCCATATCAGCACAATAGCACATGCAAAAATACCACAATTAAATCAGAGAAAATAAGTTTGATCATAATACTAGGTAGTGGTGTGTATGTTGGTTAGTGTCATGGTGGGCTTTTTCACCTGGAATAAGTTATTTGGACCATTCAAATAACAGAATAAAATAGGGTTGTGTTTCCATGTTTGTTTTACTGAATACATGGCTAAACATAGCAGTGCAGTTTTGAAAACTTTACAAACTAACTTTGAAATTGAATTATTTTTCTAGCTTGCAGTGTTGGCTGAAATCAGTGATTTAATGAGAAAGTATATGCCATCCTTGCAGGGTGTTGAAATGTAGCACTGAATTTAATAAATTTGTCTTTTTCAGCCATGAGTCATCTTAATGGACAAAAAATGTATGGGAAGATTATTCGAGTTACCCTTTCCAAGCATCAGACAGTACAGCTACCTCGAGAGGGACTTGATGACCAAGGGCTAACTAAAGATTTTGGTAATTCACCCTTGCATCGCTTCAAGAAACCTGGCTCAAAAAATTTTCAGAATATATTCCCTCCATCTGCAACTCTTCACCTATCTAATATTCCGTAAGTGTTGTATGACAATAAGCCAGTGGGATTCACATAAGCCATAAAATACTAGATCCACTGATAATTAATTCTTATATGTGTGTTTTTGTTTTTCATTTTTCTAGACCATCAGTAGCAGAAGATGATCTGCGCACACTGTTTGCTAACACTGGAGGCACTGTGAAAGCATTTAAATTTTTTCAGTAAGCACGTTTTCCTTGAATCCCTATGTTTTGAACAAAAGATTGACTTCATATGTTTTAACAGAATGTCTTGAAAAAATACTCTTCTGGAGAGGGAAGAAAGGTTTTTAGGCCCTTATTTAGTATTGGTTGAGTTCCTAATGTTGTTGTTTTGTTTCAGAAGAGATCACAAGATGGCACTTCTTCAGATGTCAACAGTGGAAGAAGCTATTCAGGCTTTGATTGATCTGCATAATTACAATCTTGGAGAAAATCACCATCTGAGAGTTTCTTTCTCAAAATCAACAATTTAAAATGGGAGATAAAAAATGAAGGTGTATCGCATTGTTCAGTGTCGTCACCTATTGACTGTTCAGGAGAGTGGGGACCAGAGTTTGACTTCTGTCTTTCATGCTGTTATCATTCCTTGGTTGTTTTAAAAAAAACATTCATAAGAAAAGAAAAGCAGTGATATTAACTGTTGGTTTTTCATCTGTTTAGAGAAACATCATTTTGTTTAAAAGGGTTTCAAGTTAAGCCCACAGTTTTTCAAGTTAGTTGACATACGTGCCTTAAAAAGGAAAACTAGTGTTGCTAGAATTACATTTGCTAGTAAAATGAATTTGGTTGGCTGGGGCACAGTGTTACATGAGAATTAAAATATATTTAGGCAGGGGTGTGTAAAAAGGTTAAGGTTTTTGTTTCTCCTGCTTGGAACTCTTTTATTACTTATTGGGTTGTCACGTATCTTTCTTTTTAATCAGATAAGATACATTACTTTGAAAGATTAAAACACAGCATATTTTATTTCTGCTACTTTAACTTTTTTTTGTAAATGGCCTTCTGTATTTCATGATTCTGGTCTAGATTCAGTTATGAATGTAGGCATTAGAGAAAATGAACACGGTACAGAATATTAATTTCTTAAAGGAGAAAAAAGTGATTTCTGTGATTTTTTTTTTTGAGCCCTATGTGGAAAGCATTGTGGAATCTTAACCTTTTTGTACACACTCTTGTGGGACGTATCATATAAATGTCAGCACTAAGTAATGTCTTGTTTGTGGTTGAATATTTTTCGTAGATGTTTTTGAAGTTGACATGACTTATGTGCATTTAAATATATATTGCCATCTTTAGTTTGTAATTAAGATTTGGAATATGGTTGTGGATTTCTGAGCATGTGCAGACTGGTCTAGCTAGTTCAGGAACTGGTGCATGTATTTTTCAAAGATGAAGAAAGTGTACTGCGAACACTTGCAGGAAGGTTAATTTTGTGGCAGTTTTTTAAAACTGACAACCAGGTGGGACCAAAGTTTATGTGCCTTTAGTCTTAATTTACCTTGCATTGTAATATTCAGTTTTAATAAATCTCTTCAAAATATTTTGTATTAGAAATCGATCTGACTTTACTATAAACATGGCTCAGAATCTACAGATCAAATTAATTTGACAACAGTTCTTCTGTCAATCTGAACTGTTTAATCTGATTCTGTTTAAATGACCAATACTTTTTGAAATTGATGTACTTAGTTTCAAGATTCATAGATTCTGTTATCTATGTAGAAAAAGGTCATGTATATTTTCTATTAGTTAAGTTTTTACATCTTTAGAAATGTAAAATTCAGTATAGTTTGAAAGCGGCACAATTAAAAATTAATTTTCTAACAAAGTTGGGAGGTTTGACAGTCGTTTAATTTCATTTTGTGTGTACTCTGCTTACCTCTGTAGCATGCTCAATAAACACTTCTGTAGCTCTGTATTCACCTTTTCTGTCTTTCTCTGCTGCCTTTTCTCTCTTCTCTTCTTTGTTTTCCACTCCCACTGTGCTTCTGAATTCATGTTTATTCTGTGCCAGGGTGGGAAAAGAATAATCATAGTAATCATTTTACAATTGTATGGCTTTATACCATAAGTAAATCTGATGCTGTGAAAATACATCAGCTCCTTATATTTAGAAAGACAGTAACTGCTTTGGAGGAGTACATGTATATTACACATTTCCCACCCTGTTATAACCTACTACTTTGAGGACAACTTTTATTGTGGTTTGTTAGTGCTCTTTTTCTCTCTCTTTTCTGTTTTAAGGAGATTTATGCACTAATAGATCTCTCAGGTTTGCCATGCTGTCTTGCTGCAATTTCATCTTCCATCTTTTGTGTCTGTTAAAGATTTTCTACTAATCATAAAATATTCTCATAGGTTAAAAAACAAAACAAAAAACCCCCAAGTGACCAAGTTGCTAAAGCAAATATTAGAACAGTGGACCGTATTATAGATGGTGATCTTTTTTCCCACCTGTTCTGAAAAAACATTCAAGAAAATTCTTTTGGCAAGTTAGTTTCTACACATTTATTTTAAATTTATTTTCTTCTGCATAATAAATGTTAATTTTTCTAGGTTAAAAATAACTTAACACATAGTCCCATTGAAAGAATAACTGTATAATTTTGAAGTTCTGTATTGGTAAAAGCTATCAAGGTTCAAAACATTTTTTTTTGTCACTTCTTCCATACAGCTACTGTAGGTTTATTGATGTCAGATTACTTTGTGACCTGGTGTCTGTTCTTTAGGATTACTGTATAATCAATAACTATCTGTCAAATAGTTAAAGGTTACCACATAACCTAGCGGTGTTGCATTAGTCTCCACTATACTAAATAAAAATGCATTGCATTGAAATCTGCTTGGTCAGGAACATGCCCTAAGTATGGCTCTGAAGTTACGCTTCAGATATTGCAATCATCACTGAGACTGAACTACAAATAAAATGATTTCAACTCTGTCTGAAACTTTGTGAACCAATTTAAAGCTTTGTATATTACAAAGTCTAATTTACAAGCCTGTTGTAGACTAAAAGTCTTTCACTTGTAACAGCATGATGTCCCCTTTATTTTTAAAAGCAGAATTTTAATGAATTAGTTTGACAGCATCCAGAACTAATAAGTAATGAGACTAAATTTGTCTTCTGAATGCATGGTAAAATGTGCTCAACTGTATCTGAGGAGAAATATGAGTTGAAAGTTACCATTCCTAGTATTCAGCTCTTGCTGAACTATTTATACTTTGAACCATCTGTATCAGATAGCGGTACAGTGAAAGTTGTATGTATAATGTAGAAATAACTTTACAGTACATGCATCTGGTGAGATGTTTACAAATTTAGGGGTGTTTTTATTTGTTTAATTGAACATTTCCAAACCTGTTGTTCTAAGAATAGGTAGCTATAATTATTTTCTCAGGTTGTTAAGTTCTGTTACAAAAACTCAAGCAGAAATTCTATTTGTTATAAACCCATTAACACACATTATGAGGCTGTTTATATACATTTAAATTAAAAAATGATGGTCTTATAACTGCCATAAAGGTGTCGTCTATAAACTCAATGAAGAAAATCACTGTTCAGTTCTTGACTAACTTGAATTCTCTAATAGATGTGATAGACAATTACAAGGTTATTAATTATAGAAATATGGTTACAATTTCTGTAATTGGGAAGATTATAATGATCAACACAACTCTTTACTGCATTATGCAAAAAAAACAAAAAATAAAACTGCCCTACTATAAAGAGTGAAAAGTAAAGATATTTGTTTAGATAATGCAAAGATTAAATGTCCTAATTGCTGGAAGAACTGCTAGAAGACTGAGCTGACATTATCTTTCTTGCATTATTATCTAAATTTATATAAAATGTTGATCATTTGAAAAATCAACATTCATATTTTTAAGATGTAAATTATTCTTAACACAAAGAGGTTTGAATAACTTTTTAGCATAAAAATAATGCAGTACCCGCGTAAGCTACCTTATTGGAAAAAGAAAAGGAGTACTTGTGGCACCTTAGAGACTAACCAATTTATTTGAGCATGAGCTTTCGTGAGCTACAGCTCACTTCATCGGATGCGTACCGTGGAAACTGCAGAAGACATTATATACACACAGAGACCATGAAACAATACCTCCTCCCACCCCACTGTCCTGCTGGTAATAGCTTATGTAAAGTGATCATCAAGTTGGGCCATTTCCAGCACAAAACCTGGATTTGTGCTGGAAATGGCCCAACTTGATGATCACTTTACATAAGCTATTACCAGCAGGACAGTGGGGTGGGAGGAGGTATTGTTTCATGGTCTCTGTGTGTATATAATGTCTTCTGCAGTTTCCACGGTACGCATCCAATGAAGGGAGCTGTAGCTCACGAAAGCTCATGCTCAAATAAATTGGTTAGTCTCTAAGGTGCCACAAGTACTCCTTTTCTTTTTGCGAATACAGACTAACACGGCTGTTACTCTGATACCTTATTGGAACTTTCCAGTTCCATAGGCATCTTTGATATTTTAAAATACAGAGATCTTTGTTAGGGGGCTTATTCCTTCACCCACTTACTTCCCTGGTCCTTCTCGCATGAACAGAGAGCAACAATACCCGAAGTCCAAAGGTGCAAACAATTCGATGTTTATTGGGGTGAACTTCCAGCAAGCATGATTCCAGTTTCCTTCCTTAGTATCCTCCTTCCCAGCTCTGACACCACAGAGCCTTACACCTGTGTCCCTGTTCCCATTCCTACCCTTAGCCAAACATGATTCCAACTTCCTTACTCCCATTCCCTGTTCCCATTTCCCCCTCCCTTAGGAAAACATGATTCCAATTTTCTTACCCCCATTCCCTGTTCCCATCTCACCCACACACCCACCCCTTCCCACCCACACCCACCCACTTCCTCATTGACTACTGATTATATAGTAAAACTTGAGTTCTGCTTAGCTATAATCATTTTCCTGAAATTTAACTAACCAATCCTAACATATTGTAACATGATTATGTAACCAATTATATCCCACCACCTTAATTAGTTTACACCCAGCAAAATTAATTATACAGCAGACAGAAACAATCACAGAACCAGACAGAGATTATACAGACAAACAATAGCAAAGTGGGAACTATAATGACAAAACAATACAGAAGTGAGGATTTCACATCCCAGCTATTTTTAAGTGAGTTCTTGCCAGACAGGATGCTATCAAAGTAAGTTTCCTTTTACATCTTCTAGGCACTTCCCTTTTTCTGGAGGTGATAGGCACTATCAGGACAGGATTGTATTCCTAACTGCCCAATAGCACCTTATTTCAATGTGACTAGTTTGGAATGTGAGGATCTGACCGTTCGCTTCCCAGCTTATGGCTGCCTCTGCTGCTTAGCCAAAGGCCTTAGCCTAAGCACAGGGCCACAAACTGTCACAGTAAGACAAGGACCTTACACTAGCAGACAGTGATTTTGATTCTTTCTTTTATACCTCTATAACTAGCCAAGTGATCAGAATACACCTAAATTCTTACAGTACAGGCCTTTGCAGACAGGCCTGAATATCTATATCCTAACACTCTTTGTTTTGGAATATCAGCTTTAAAATAGCTGTAGTATGTTTCTTTTATGCAAAAAAGTTGTTTTAGGTAGAATGCTGATATCTCCATCATTTGGAGAGGAAGCTAGATTAATTTGCCAGACAACATTGGACAGATGGGTCCAAAAGCGGTTTCTTATTTGTCCGGTAGTGCAAATGCATTTATGTATGAAATAAAAAAAAATATGGCAAACTTACTCCCTTTAAATAAAGGTTTTCAGCATTCTTAAGTGATGTTATTTACTCTGATTTTAAAATGTGTACTACTAACACATACCTTCGCTCTTCAGAGGAAGTGACTGATCTCACTTGTTTTGTAAATTACCATGTAAATTTATGCTGCTATATAGTTTAAGATTAAAAATCTTAAATTTAAGATTCAAATATTTGGCTACAGACATTACAATGTTACATTGCAAACCTGCACTAGTTTAAGAAATAAAGAAAAAACTCTTCTCGTTCTTATTCTGAATGAACCATCAAGATACAAATTTCTTTAAATAATGAGGATCTAAAAGTCATAAATCCCACGTTGAAGTACAGATCTGTGAGAAGTGGTCACAAACGTATAACCAGCCATTTGAAAAAGGAACTCTTGGTCATCAGTTCCAGCAGCTGCCCAAATGGTGAGTCTCCTGGATAAAAGAGGGGTGAATTTTCTCAATAACAGAACCCTATCCTCCCATTAATTTTGCCTTGCCCTTTAGGGCTTTTGCCCAATTTAGCATACCTCTCTTTATTATTGTCCAGGTACTGGGGAAAAAGGACATTGAGCCATATGACCTTAATGAACATGAGACAGAGCTGTGTTTCATCAGCATACTTATTCTGCTGCAGCCTTCCTAAACCCCATGTGAGAGTTTATCCCTTTTTGTCCATCACATGGAGACTATTATGGCTTCATCCCTAGATGAGTCTGAACACTTGGATGGACTGCTGGTCTCTGGGTACCCAACTCTTCCTGCCGAAAGTGTTTTTCCTGTGCCAAGAAGGCAGATCCCCTCTCCCTTTTGTGGTTTCAGATTTGTAGTAGATTTGTAATAGTGCTTATTTCACCTTTTGACCTTTAGTGCGGATAATAGTCTTAAGCAGAAGGTTTTCTTCTTCAATGGATATGGTGTGATGGAGGAGTGACAACGATCATTCAAATCATTTTTGAAGTTAACCATTTTAAAAGAAGCAATCCACCGTAACTGGAAGATGGCACTCTGGAGGAAAGAGGAGATGCTTTTCTGCTGACTAGAAGGGTTCCAAGAATTTTCTGGCTCACTTGCTCAATCAGGACTACTTAGATAACCAATTCTCACCATCATCATGACAAATCACTAAGGGACGTGACCTTACAAATTGAGCGG